TCTCGACTAGAGCTTTCTTACTTGTTATACCCTGAACCCATTGAAAATGGGAAATCGTAGGCCAAAAATCATGCTACATCTTTACACCTTGAGTCGCCAAATATAAAATGTATGTATATTCATATGTATTTTATAAAATCTCGATTTTCGTCAAAATTTACCCCTCACCTCTATATCCACCCCCTTACCCTCATATTTGTAAAAAACGCAAATGCAAGAATTTCAGTGTTACAATAACGATCTGAAGTTTCATGAAGAAAGTACATCCACAAAAAAAGTTATAAAGCAATTAATTTCCCGTAGTAAGTCCACACTACAACCAATGTGTGTTTATGCGTGCGTGCGTGCATATGCATATGCGAATAATTATTGAAATATCAATTGCTCCAAGGCTTGATTGCTGGAAGGGTTCGAGCAATCTCGACTAGAGCTTTCTTACTTGCTTTTATACTCGTTCACGAAAGTGAAATGAAATTTTCGTCTTGCTGTCCGTCCGTCTGCCCGTATAAACGCAGTTTATTTCGCCACTATTGAAGCTTAAGACTTGAAATTTGGAACACATACTCGTGTATATCTCCAATTGATAAAGTGTAAAATTATCCCGATCTGCCCACAATCGGAAAATGCCTTTTCCGATATACCAGAAATAATATAAGTTAATGAGTTAGAAATATAAATCCATGTCGACCATTTAAGATCATGAGCAATGGCGGGTATACCTATGCTGTCGGGGTGTGAATGAATATTCCGCAGTTGGTAACGTCCGACGTTCTTACTTGTTAGGTCATCTAAAAAAAGTGTAGCCAAAAGAAGACCGAGCTGGGCAATGTAGCTGTGTTTTAAACGCTCACATTCCAGCATTCTAGCCGCTAACATTTAACGAAAGCTTGATCGCTAAAGCTCAGATTATCCCAAGCTGACAATTTTATCGCAAACGATATGCGCTGCAATTAAAAATCTCGTATATTTGCCGATTATTTCACCACACGATAAGAAACCCCGTTAGACAGGATATTAGCGGGAATTGGCTTCGAATGTTACAAACTGAGGTCCTAGTTTGGCATTCATATTTTGAGAAAATTTACTTTAAGTAACATTTCTCCGAATGACTTCCTGTCCTTCTTTAAATGTGACCGATTTAGCTCTGAGATTATGTTGGCCTGCGTTTATTTAATATGCTCGACGGATATTGATCTGGATATTGTTTCTCAATCGAGCAAGGTATCATTGGCTCTTGGAGCCGCTCCGTGTGTTATCATATCGAGTCCAAAAAGTTTTCAGTATGGCGAACAGCTTAACAATTGATGCAGACCTAAGCGTCTGCTCAAGAAATGCTCGTGATATGAACATCCCTTTCAGTTTGATCGTTTTGTAGATACGAATCACTGTTTACACGCCCGGTATATACGGTATATACGTGTTTGATGCCTAATTTCGTTAAAAACTTAGACTTTAATTGAGAACCATTACCATAATGATAGTTTCAGGGACCCTAAAACTATGAAATATGTGTTTTAGCAGATACTCTTGAATCTTTGTAGACGTGAACTTTTTTAAGGGACACAGCCAATGATACTTTCTAAAATGGTGCAAGGCTATATGCTCTATATAGACTATATACTCTATATGGCATTGGTTGCTATGAGGATATGGTCCAAGAAGGTCAATATGCATTACATATTGGTCATCCATTAGGGGCAGTAAATCTAGGCTTTTGCTCTTTATTTATATCTAATAAGAATCTTCTAAATGACATCGCTATTATCGTAATGAAAGTAAAATTTTATATTAAAATCTGGATTAGTTAAGATTGGAGCAGTAGTCAATACTTTCTTTAACTTATCCATAGCCATTTGTGCTCCGGGGAGCCACACAAATTTAGACTTCGTAGAGAGGACATCAGTAATTAGACAAGTAAGATCTGCAAAGTTATGTATGACTCGTCTGCTTAAAGTTTTTGGGCGTTGGCCAAGTAACCTCAGTTTCCAATGACATAACCTTAGTAGTTAATACTTGTGACGCAGATTCGCTTAGAGGGAGCATTGCACAAGCTAAAGGGCATGATTTTAAATTGGTATAGAGGTAATTTGAATGTATTTATTTGTTTAGACTCCTCAGTTAGTTTAATTTGCCAGAAAGCATCTTTCAAATTTAATTTCGAATTAAGGTTTGCTTTAGGTAATCGAGAAAAGATACCATCGATGCTGGGCAAAGAATACGCGTCTAAACATAAACGAACTTTATTCGGCTTTACTACGAGGCGCATGGGTGAACTCCAAGGGCTAATTATCACATAAGCTTTATCTCTCTATGAGCGACGTACACCCCAAACAAGAGACGAATTTGGAAATAATACTTTCACTAGCTCTGGCTTAGTTTAAGGATACGAATTTTCGCTGGGATCATTATTGCTTATACCAAATACCTCTATAGCGCTAATAATATTTGGACAAACGGACTTCCAGGAATCATGACATTCTATTGTTTTCCTTCAATTTTTGTGCTCTACAATTTCCTGGGCATGCGGTTGTTGACGGATGCCTTGTGTCGGTTTTTGAATGTCTTTGAAAGCAAACTGCTATGGCTTATAAACACACTGGGCGGTCCACAGCCGTAGCAGAAAATGCAACGTTCAGACACGAAATTTTCCAAAATATGACATATTTCTTCACAATTCTAACAACGCAGTTTTTCATGAGAGGCGTGTATGGCTGCAAGCTCTGCATCGAGTGGCTTACCTTTGCTACTCTGTACTATCGACAATTTTTCGCTCATTTGTACTAAGCGGCGTACATGTCCTGCAGATATAATGGCTTCTCGCATGATTCAGGGAGTAAGTTATTCTTCAAAAGCTCCATTAATTCTTCTTCCGCTACCTTAAGTGAAGATTTATCGATTAGAGAGGCTACGGATTCATAGAAGGGTGAATCTGCGATGATTCTTTATGCCCGTTACATTATTTTCACAAAACAATTATACCCTGATTTCCTATTTTCAATGGATTTAGGGTATAATAATGATAATTTACAGACCTGGAATATAGAACACATCTGCAGTAACACATTTGACAAAACAAAACAAATTACTCAAAATTAGATATTAAATAAAAAAAAAATGATCCACGCTATCACAGAACCATATCTCTGCATAACATTTTTATAAAGAGACTAGACTAGAGAAGTTATTAACAAATTGAGCTCCATTAGTAAACTGAAGCCCATCGGGTTTATGCGTGCGTGCCGAGTGTGTTTTCCTTGCGTTGAGTTCCTCGAAGGGTTTAGGGATCTTATAGTCGACTGTTTCGACTTGAGTTTTCTTATTTGATTTTTAGGAATGTGGATAGAATTATATATATACATATAAGTGAACTTAATTTTTTAATATGTTTAGTTTTTTTGCAGGTATGCGATAATTTGGATGTATGCATCATTAAAAATATTGGTGTTAATGTACGTGAAGCTTCCATAGCAGACACAGAGATTGCAGTTTTTAATTTCCTCAATCATGTTCGCTATTGGCTAAAATATGCTGACTGGTCCATGTCTTTTGTTATGCTTGATCAGATAATAGTTCGAATGAATTCAAAGGAACGTCTTCTTGTTTTCACAGAGGCACTCGCCGTGTATCAGCCACAAACTCCTGTACAATTGGCTCATCTTGTACAAATTTTAATAAAAATATTAGAGCATATTATACCTCTGGATGATATGAAAGTGAATGTGCTTGCTCGAATTCTTCACGTTATAGAATCAACTTTCAAAATAATTATTGCTAATAATGAGCTAAATACACTTATGGATTGCTACTATAAAAAGATGGTGGAAGCTATGTTTGAAATTCTTGATAAATTTGCTACTGAATGGGAATATATTCCGAAATCACAGTGCCGAGCAGAATCTGAGTCCTGTCTAAATGTAGACAACTTTCGCAACAGACTAGAACAAATGTCTACCTTGAATCCACAGGTACTTGAACATATAAATAACTGGTTGCATGCACATTGGAAACTGAATAATTGTTTATTTTACATGGGAATGGGCATGGCGCGACGCATACATCCAGATGAAAATGCAAAAAAAATAGACTGTCGAACTTTTTTAATGACAATGGAGAGCTTTGATCTAGATTTGGAGCGCACATTGGTGATTAAATCCGCAGACGCGATGCATACACTCATTTTCACAGAGAAGTTGTTGCAAGAGTTGCGCCACTTACTGCGAAATGATGAAGTTCTTATTTCTATTAGAAGTCATAAGCATAGTCAGTACTGGTGGTATCCTGAGCAAGATTCACGGACACAAGTACTAGTTGTAAATGCTTACACATCTACAGCTATCTTGGAAAAAACACAACAGCTGTCTGAGCCATTTCAATATATATCCAAACTCACAACTAACAATCAACGTCGTAGGCGAAATACTGTTGAATTTGATGATCCTGTAGAAGACGTCGAGAATGTCATACACGATAACGTTGTAAGCTCCAAAGAGGTTCGCATGTATCGTACAGAACTTTATGGCCATTCTGTACTTGGAGTTACTTTTACAAGGGCTGATATAGACTACCGTGTTTTACTTCATATGACAAACAACCCACAGCTGAATGATATTAATACAAAAAATACAACGTGCTTGGTGAAATCCGGAAGTAAACCAACAGCTTTATTACTTCGAAATTTATGTAAGAAAGCTCGACCAGTCTATATATATATTCGCGCCGATAATATATTAAGGAATTGGGATTCGTTTCGCGAAATAGGTGCTTATTACACGTTTTCCACTGAAATGCGTAGCTGTCGAATTTGGAAATTCTCACGGCCAGAACCCAGCTGGCAGACAATTCTGTGCATTCCCGAAATGAACAAAAGTGTAAGCAACGGTATCCATTGCCGCTGCAATTTCATTAGCGACCTTGACGCTGATGCCAAACCAATTATTGCTGTCAGAATGAATCTTAAATGTCACTTGGAGCGCCCAGTGGTCGGACGTAATTACGAAATTTTCATTTGCTATATTGTAATACCAATAGTAGCGATAGCCTTTCTTTTTATTAAAATGCACAGAGCTGCGTTCTGGGACAAGCCCCTATATTTGGAGGATTTATACAGTGGCGAGCTTTGTCGTAGTGGTGACATAATAATCCGAATTACATTTGGTGGTCGGTATCACTCTGGATCTTCAGCAAACATATTTCTTTTATTGCAGTCTTCTCGAGGTAAAAGGGAGATAGTCGTTCATCAAGATCCACTTAAAACGACTTTTAATCGCAACAGCACGATTTTTTTACGACTTGATAGAGACTTTGTGCAGTTGCCAGTGCGTCTTGCTCTCGGTCATGATAACACTGGCACTCATCCACATTATTTTTGCCGCAGTATAGTTATTACTGACATGTTAACGGAGAAAACACAGCACTTTCGTATTAATCGGTGGGTACGTACATCGCCTGTGATAGGAAGTAAAATGCATTTGGAGTCAACTATGGTTCTGGATTTCGCAACAGCCACGCCAAAGTATATATATCGATGGCCATCGCGATTCGCACTTGCTTTTGAGCTATGCATGGGAAAGTGGTACTTATTTCAATCTATAATAGGTCCATGGCGTTTCGGAATTAATGGCAATTCTCTAAGCAGATGGGAACGTAGTTGTATATATGTGTGCAAAACTTTTGTATCAATATGCATAGTTATCGCATTCTTTGGCCGTGCCGAGCCAATATTATGTGACCCAAGCCCAAAACGCTACAATGATTTTAATATCGTGGTCTGGCTTTGTCTCATATGTTTAATTGCAAGCTGTATTACTGAAATTCTTATGACTGTATTTCTAAGAATATTATCCAAATATAATTAGAAAATTTTCTATTATCAAATAATGTAAAAAAGTAATTTCCAAATTAAATATTTTGTATCGGGAGTAATGGGACCAGCCGGCCGGTATCGCCGGTGCCGATTCACACGAGGAGGACTGTCTCCCATTGGGATATCGAATATGTTTGAGCCCAGCCGTCCAAAATATCGGCCACATCGGCCAGCAAATGGGCGTCATCCTCCCCTGGTCCTGGCACGGTGTCCGTTTGCGACTCGTGAGGGCCCTATTCGGGACCGTTGGCTTGCACCTGAGGGGGCTTTGATCTGACCATTGATCGTGCTCGCTGGGACCACTGATCGTGCTTGCTGGGACCACTGATCGTGCTCGCTGGGACCACTGATCGTGCTCGCTGGGATCACTGATCGTGCTGGCTGGGACCACTGATCGTGCTCGCTGGGACCACTGATCGTGCTCGCTGGGACCACTGATCGTGCTCGCTGGGACCAC